ACCATCACCACCATCCCCACCATCACCACCATCACCACCATCACCACCACCACCATCACCACCACCATCACCACCATCACCACCATCATCACCATCATCACCATCACCACCATCACCACCATCACCACCATCCCCACCATCACCATTGCTGCCACCACCAGCAACATTGTCACCACCACCACTGCCACCCTTATTACTGTCACCATTGTCACCCCTGCTGCCATCACCATTTGTTTCATTGCTGTGGAATGCTCTACAGTGTGAATGCACCCCACTTTATGACTGAGCGCATTTGAGTGGCTTCCATCTTGGGACTATTAAGAGTAGTGCTGCTCTTGAGTATTTTGGCACATGCTTTGGTGGACTTCTGTAGATGTTTCTGTTGAGTATATCGCTGGGTGGTGGGATATATGTGTATTCAGCTTTAGAGCAAAACACTTTTCCAAAGTGGTTGCACTCGTTCACACCATCATTGTGTGAGAGTTCTGGTTGCTCAAGTCCTCACTGATCCTTGGCATTTGTAGTCATTTTATCCATTCTGGTGGTGAGGGGGGCGGTGTAACTGTGTAACACTGGGGTTTTAGTTTGCATTTGATGACCAGTGTAGTTTAATACCTTTAATGTGGTTTTGGATACTCAGATCCTTTTTGGTACAAGTGCTTTGTCCCTTTTTCCCACTGGGTGTTCTTCCTCCTCTCTCTCTGTTTCTCTCTGTCTGTCTCCCCCTCTCTTCTGACTTGTAAGACTTGTGTATATTCTGAGTATGAACTCTTTATTGGGAATAAGTGTGAATATCTTCTCCTGTGTGGTTGCCTGTGCAATCTCTTAGTGGTGCTTTGGATGAACGGAAGTTATTAATTTTAACATGGTTCACTTAATCATTTTTTTCTTCTGTGGTCATTACCCTTTGTGTCTCATTTAAAGAAACTTTGTCTACTCTTAGTCTGTGGGAAGCTTTGGTGACTCTACCTTAGTCTCATCCTTTCTTTCCCCTGTTTTTGGGAGCAAGTACATACAGATTAGGTAGGAAATGCCTCTCTGACATGAAATACCTTCATGTGGTATTTGAAATTTAATCATTGGTTATAAGGTGTGGTCATTGTTGGAACCCATGAACTCCTAGTGAATGACAGATAATCACAGAGCCTGTGACGGTGAAACATGTTCTATAACTTACTTACTGTCACAGCTTAGCAACTGGAAACCATTTTTTCCTTTTCTCAAATAAACCCAGATGGCGATCTTATGTCCACTATTTGTGTAAATAAACCCAAATGGTCATCTTGTGTCCACTCTTTGTTACGAACTTGCTGCTCCTTTCTGAAGCAGGAATTCTCCTGTTTGTCCCTTTGGAAGTCTTCGAACAACTTCCTGTTGTCCTGGACCCCAGTCACAGGGACCTGTGTGACTAGCCTCTGCCCCATGCTTCAGCCTCCTCTTTGGCCACCTCTCCCCTTAAACTCCCATTGCACAGGTCATTTGGATTTAATTTCAGTTGCCTGGACATTCGTGCCCTCCCTTTTACACTTTAGGATAAACCACCTTCTCTCTCTAGAGCTCAGCTTGCTGACTTCCGCTCCTACCCCTTTACCTCCTCATTTCCAGTGAATTTCCCCTCTGGATTCCTGCTTAGTGGTCACCCTGGGAAACCTTCCCCACCTGGGCTCCTACGTCCCCTCCTTTGTTGTCTCAGAGAGCATGGTGGGTCCACTTCCAAACGGCACGTTTACAAGTGAGAAAAGAAAGCTGGCCATCTTTTAAAGTTCTCATCGCAAGCTGCGATACGTTATATGTGGAATTAAATTAATAAAAACAAACAATCGGCTTCCAAAACATACAAAGGGAATAACTCTGGTCACTTATATTCTACAGTGCCAAAAAGCTGTCAGTATTAATGAATGATCTCATATATAGGAGAAGAGGGAACAATGTCTTAAAGTGGGAACAGGAGAAGGAGTGAGGTGTTTGAGTGGGGGAAGGCAGTGGAGACTCGGTGTGGTTGCGCCATGGGTAGTGGGGATAACGGGCAACATCTCTTTCCACGTGAGCATGATCTTTATTTGAGCCCAATGAGGTTAGCTTCTTTAAGGGCATCTTAAATGTCTGCTCCATGGGAGTCTTCCCCCTGGAATTAAATGCTTCCTTGTCTGGGCTCCTCTTTTTGTGCTGCTACGAGTTATTTTATACCTCAGTAGTGACGCTGACTTTTACGTTTTAGCGCTCACCACGTGCCGGCTGAGCAGCGCTTGTAATTGTCACTTAACAGGCCTGACCGGTCTGTTACTTTACCGCTCTATCTCCGGTGCCTAAGGGTTAAGCACGATGCTTGTCACATAGTAAGTGATTAGTAAGGACAGCTAGTGCACCCACTGTGCAGGGCTGTCATGAGAGTGAAAGGTGACGGCATACGTGGCAAGCTCTTTTTTTTTTTTTTTTAAAGATTTTATTTATTTATTTGACAGAGAGAGAGAGAGCGAGAGAAGGAACACAAGCAGG